ACCGGGAGTGATCTCCCCTAAACTTTCTTGAATATTCGTATATGAAACAACAGGGATGGCAACTCGGGATTTAGACATGAATTTTAATCCATTTTAAATACTTAAAGTTTTAAATTAGAATAAAATCTCGTAGAAAAAAGAATTGCACACTAAGTGAACGCCAAATAAAACGTGCAAAATAGTGCGAAATATTATTAGTAAATTCACATGCGTTTTTTTTGGAAATCGGAAATCCCTAAAATTACTATTTCCGGTAAACAGAAATTACTCAAAATATGACGGAAGGCAGAAAATTAGATCTTTGACTTACATGTGAATTTTTTTTATCTATCCGAAATTATACTCAATTTATAGGCTTTTGAAAATTCAAAGTAGAAAAAGTTCCATTTGCGGTTATCGGAAATCGCTCAAAAGTTGATACGGATCTACGAACTTGATATAATATTTATATATGAAATTTCATCAACATAGCTGTAATGGTACTCAAGTTATCGTGTTTACAGACACACACACAGACACAGACACACACACATACACACACAGACATACGGACAAGATTGCTAAACTATGTTTTTCCGACTCAGGGAGCTGTAAAACGTCGAGTTTTGCAAAAATCTCGATTTTTTTTTCGATTACAAGACTTTCTCTATACTTCGAATTATACGAGAAAGTAAAAAAAAAAAAAACAAAGTAAATGCATTTCACATAACGGAAACATTTGAAACAGAAACCACTCCCATGTTGGTGTTTAGTCACTTAAGAACAGATAATAGGCGTACGTTGACGGAAGATGGTAGACAATAGTCGTATTTAAAGTACATAACAAATAACATGCTATATACAGTTTACGTGTAAAATATATTTTAAAATTTTTAGGACAGAAACATAAGGTAGCCTTGAAACCAAAACACTATGACTACTGCACAACATGTTGCACATGATTCGATTATTTTCCATCCATTCTATAATTACCCTGTTGTGATTAGTATTGTGTATAGTAATTAATGCCCGTAATAAAAATTGCTGGGAAGGAACATATGCCGGATAAGTGGTAACAGGGTAGTTATAGCTGGGATGTGGTAAGTGGTAACAGGGTAGTTATAGGCTGGATGTGGTAAGTGGTAACAGAGTGGTTACAGGTGGGATTCGGAAAGATGTTAAAGGTAACACATCCACATCCACACCCACAACCATACCCACACCCACAGCAACATTCACGTCCATATCAGTATACAGATTTAATACATATCTATCTGCATCTATAAGTGTACCTGCCTCTGTGAACTAGCAGCTAGTGATGCGGGATCCTGGCTGTCACTGGTATACAGTGATAGCTGGTAATAAACACTCCACTACATTGTGGTCCATTAGTGGACCACAACGTAAATCTTTACCAAGTGGCCACAAGGTTTGCTCTAGTAGTTGGCCACAAACTTATCCCTTAAGAGTTGGCCACAAACCTATCCCTTGGCAGTTGGCCACAAACTTATCCCTTAAGAGTTGGCTAACAAACTTATCCCTTAAGAGTTGGCCACAAACCTATCCCTTGACAGTTGGCCACAAACTTGTCCCTTAAGAGTTGGCCACAAACTTATCCCTTGGCAGTTGGTCACAAACTTATCCCTTGGCAGTTGGCCACAAACTTATCCCTTGGAAGTTGGCCACTAACTTATCCCTTGGCAGTTGGCCACAAACCTATCCCTTGACAGTTGGCCACAAACTTATCCCTTGGAAGTTGGCCACTAACTTATTCCTTGGCAATTGGCCACAAACTTATCCCTTGGCAGTTGGTCACAAACTTGTCCCTTAAGAGTTGGCCACAAACTTATCCCTTGGCAGTTGGTCACAAACTTATCCCTTGGCAGTTGGCCACAAACTTATCCCTTGGAAGTTGGCCACTAACTTATCCCTTGGCAGTTGGCCACAAACCTATCCCTTGACAGTTGGCCACAAACTTATCCCTTGGAAGTTGGCCACTAACTTATTCCTTGGCAATTGGCCACAAACTTATCCCTTGGCAGTTGGTCACAAACTTATCCCTTAAGAGATGGCCACAAAATTATCCCTTAAGAGTTGGCCACAACCTTATACTTAGTAGTTGGCTAAAACCTTATATTTTCCTTTAGGCCACCGAGCATTCTGTTAATTCGAAATATTTTACTAGTAGTATCAGAGCTATGTTATGAAGTAGATTAGTTAAACCCTATACCTAGCAATACCTTGCGTATTCTCAAAGCAAAAACAAATTGAAAAAATTAATCAGATGCGGGCTGAAAATCAATACACGTTTGTTTATTAGTGTATGTGAAAAACGACCCGTAGTGAAGATTATCCAAGAGCTTAGTCTCGCATTGATTTTCTTCGGTCACGTGACAATATCACGTGAGGCAAATCAGAGGCGTAGATAGAAATATCTGGTGTGCTGGTGTATTATACATAATGTATCTGGAGGCTTAAGTCCTATACATTTGTATCAGATTGATGAAATGCACACTATCCTTATACTATTGCTCTATTCCCAACCCACACAACGTCAATATAAAACACGCTTGATATAACTAAATATAACTACCCGACTACAGAGTCGTAGCGACCCTTCCCGGCGCCCGGGGACAAAATTTTCGATTTGCACACCCCCCCCCCCCCCTCGAGATTTTGATTTGCACCCCCCTCAAACTTTCGATTTGCACCCCCCACTCGAGATTTTCATTTGCACCCCCCCTCTAACTTTCAATTAGCACCCCCTTCAACCTTTCAATTTATTTTTCCAACCCATTCTGGCGCCCCCTAAGCTCGGCGCCCGGGGACATATGTCCCCCCCCCGCCCCCCCCCCCTCGCTACGCTACTGCCCGACTACCTTATTTAACTATATTTTACTACCCGACTACCTTTTAAAAACATTAAATTCATACCTATAGCACAATTAAATTACAGCCAATTATGATTTAATATTTTAACTTATTTATACTTATAGTCGACAGTCCTATTCTAGGAAGCAAGAAAAATCCGACTTAATCATATCACAAACTCTATATTAATAATAATATTGCCTTTACTACTATGAAAGTAAATATGATGCGCCTTTTGTTGTATCTAAAAACCACCATCAAATGCAAATCAATATATTTAACAATGTATACCGCATTTTACGCTATCTTTTTATCATTGTTTGCTCGTGTGTTAGCAGATTATGCTGTGTATTTCAATATAGTCGCTCTCACATTTGATAAACAACATCATGTTCTGCTTATTGTAAGAACGACAGCTGTTATTGTACTTAAGGCACGGGGCATGTTGATACTTAGTTGTTGTTTTTGTGTAATTGTATACATTTTACGGAATTGCTAACATGCATGCATTTTACTTCACACCTCTCTAACAAGTGATACAGCCTGTAAATTATACCTATCTTTGTTGACAGCTAGAAGTGAAGCACTATTCATCTTACTTCTACTTTTACTCACTAGAAGTTAGAAACTCGTGGCAGAAAAAATTTTTCTCAAGTAAAAAATGGATAGACTAAGGTATCAATAATTTTTGTTGAAATCATTTTTTTTCTTTAAACTACTTACGATAAAGTAAATATTTTTTAATTCCATTAAATTGACTAAAACGTTATATTATTATAGTTTGAAATCTAGATCAGTTCAGACGTTTGTATCTTTATATAATTTTCCACTGTGGTCATGTTCTGAATGTGATCATACTTCATTTATTTTTGAATTATTGATTACGAGAGGAAAACATTAGAAAACAATCGATACGTTACATATATATATATATATATATATATATATATATATATATATATATATATATATATATATATATATATATATATATATATATATATATTAATCAGCACATTGGCCGTCAAGTTCGCAAATATGACCGGAATATGACCGTGCGATTATATATATATATATATATATATATATATATATATATATATATATATATATATATATATATATATATATATATATATATATATATATATATAAAATAGATATGTATAGATATATACATGTTTGTTCATTTATATATAGAACAAGCGTGCCCGTCCCCGCGTGTTGCCGCGGAGATATAAAAACGTCTGGCCGAATATAAAAGAAGAGTTTTATCAATGCGTTACCAATCATATTCGTTTAGACTTGTGACTTTATGTAAAAAATGCTGCGCTTTGGATCAGGGGCACCGCTTACAGCCCCTGGCTCCTCAAAACTAGTGTTTACAGGATAACCCGGGGAGCTAAATGGCACTACTATAACGACCCATTTTTATCCCTAGTCATTTAAATGTTTTGAAACTAACGAAGGCTCCGAAAGCGCTCAAGGAATTGCCCGGAGCGCTAAATCGCACCCTACCGTGACGCCGGGGAACGCGCCTGATTATGTTTAGTGGACGCTTTTTATGCACAGTCTTTTGCACTGTTTAAAACGAACGTAGGCGCCACAGAGCTCAAGGGAAAGCTCGGGGCGACAAATCACACCCTGTCGGGGCGCGGCGAATTCGCATGATTAAATGTATTGAACGACTATAATGCCATATTGTATCCATAATCTATCACACTATTTAAAACTAACGTGGGCGCCAAAGCGCTCACAAGACAGCCCGTGGCAGATAATTGCACACTGTCGGGGCGCCGGTTAAGGCGCCTGATTCAATTTAGTGAACGTTGTCAGACCGCAATCAACTTTTGTTTGTATATACCGTATATTGAGAAGAATCGAATCACGAGACGACACACCTGCCGTTTGAATTTTTGTCCGCAGAAACCTCCCAAAGAGTATTCTCAACAACTTCCAAAGGTTTCATGGCGATCGGTTGAAATGTGTAGTAATGCATAAAAGACAGTATGTGTGTGTTTATGTGTGTGTGTGTTATAAGGATTGCTTTATAATTACGATAGTAGAAAGTATGTATTTAATTGATTTGTTGCGCTCGATATAGATAACTTAAATTATAAGTAACCATGTACGCACTTAAAAAAAAATGAAAATAAAACACTACAGAAATCTTGCTAAAAACATTGTATGTATATACAGAGTATCTGAATTCGAGCGATTTGAACATTTTTATGCCACATTAATTAAGACCAATTAATCTTTTTCTTTTTTAAAGTTGAATAAAACGACTTTTCCATATTTAGCTGCGGTCAGCCTTTGGTGAAAATCAGATTCTTCCTTAAATTTATTCTCGCAACTGCGATAGTTTTGTTGATACAAATATATATTTGGACCTCCAAAGATTTTCTCATTGGGAACGTCGTAGGCGAAGGAAACTGTCGATTTCCTGAGTTAGATCCTTTCAGGTAATATTGATTGTCATTTTTAAATTACATATGTAGCTTTAAAGCGACCTATGTAATAATTGAATAGGTTAAGTTGGGGAACGGTCATGAAACTACCGTACAGATTTAAAAGTCTAGGTTTTTTGTTATATTAGCCGGCTGTTTAAAAACGTTGAATGTAGGCACGCCTATCACCAGCAGCAAAACTAAAGTAAAAAAACAACTCTGAACCTCCCAACTTGTCATGACCGAGGACGGGTGCGTATTAAAGCCAACAGTGACTGTAAAGTATGGTTTGACAAGTAATTGATTACAGTAGTTCATCGTATCCCAAGAAACAAACGCTATGGTGAAACGAACCAAAAGTTGATCGGATGAATTGTGTAGAAATTTCATACAGTCATAAAGTGCTTTGACCATAGGGGGTTTGACCATAGGGGGTTTGACCACAGCGGAGCTTTGACCATAGGGGGTTTGACCATAGGGGCTTTGTTCACAAACCCCCAATGGTCAAAGCTCCGTTATGGTCAAAGCCCCGCTGTGGTCAAACCCCCTATGATCAAAGCCCCGCTGTGATCAAACCACTTATGGTCAAACTTCCTATGGTCAAAGCAACTGTGGTCAAAGGTCCGCGCAACTCCTTATCAAATAAACTGTAATATAATTCAGTAATTATGTGGGGGGGAAAAATGTGGACAAACACAAATGGCCCAAAGAAGTAGCAGGCTTAATTAGTAGCAGATCGCGCTTAGATAGTTATCCTTAGTCTATTTACTAGGCACCAAAAAAAAGTATTTTGTTTACTTCTCATGAAAACTATTGCAGCTTTTGTATTTCAGCCCAAACTCCATGAAATATTATGAAGAGTTTCCTACATTTGAATGTCTGGACGGTCTTCACACGTTGACGTACTACGATGGTAGCTTCGTTCACGTCAATCAAACATTAAAGAACGAATATCATTTAAATGAATCAATAATGTGTAGATATAGATCTGTTTCTTACAAGAGCAGAATATTTTATGTAAACGGTCTGTGGCAGGAGTGGTTTTCTAGCTCATCAAAAGTTTCAGAAAATGTTCCTTTTGTTGATGTTCAGTGCAAGGATACAAACGATAAAATAGTATCCAGTATGTTACACTACCCAACTAAACAAGAGCTTAGAAAACGGGAAGTCCCACATAACAACAACTTCAGCTCAGAGCAGATGAATGTGTTACTGCTTGGGTTAGATTCACTGTCAGGAAATTTGTTCAAACGTGCCATGAAAAAAACAAGAGATTATTTATTGAACACGATGGGTGTGGTGGAGATGAACATGTACAATAAAGTTGGAGACAACACGTTTTCTAACCTTATAGCAATCGCTGCAGGGAATTATGAACGTTACATCCCAAGTTTTAAAAAATTCGAGGCTTTCGACTACATTAATTTTATCTGGCAGGATTTCAAGAAAGCCGGGTTTCGAACCCAGTACGTGTCAGATATGCCAGACTTCGACGATTTCTCTCAGCCACCAACAGACAGCTACAACATTCCGATGGTGAAGTCTCTCATGAAAGATAAAAATATTTACTACAACAACTGTTTTGAAGACCAAATTGAAGTAACTCTGTGGCTAAATCTTGTAAAAGAATTTATTCTAGAATCTATTCACACTACAGGGAGATTTTTCTCTTTGGCTGTGATAGACAGACCGACACATGACTTCCCAAACAAGGCTAGTGCTGTAGATGAGCTGTATTTCAATTTTCTTAAAGATTTGCACCAGTCATCTGTATTCAACAACACGTTTTTTGTGTTTTTCGGTGACCACGGGCCTAGATGGGGAGCCTACAGAAAAACGTTTGAAGGCAGCATCGAAGAACGAGCTCCTGCTATGTTGGTATACACGCCTGAATGGTTTCAGAAGAAACACTCCAGACTTTTCAAAAACCTGCTCACCAACGCCAACAGACTGACCACTAACTTTGACATTCACAAAACTTTAAAATGTGTGCTAACTTTAGATTTTGAAGGGTTAACGGACAAATCTAAAGTTGATTTGGATTTTAGGACGAGATCTTTATTTTCTGAGATTTCTCCAACACGAACCTGCAAGGATGCGGATTTGTCTCCACATTTCTGTATGTGTAACGACGGGGTACCTGTCCCTACTTGGGAAATCGCTCCTGAAATAGGGAATCAAGTGGTACAGGATATAAATTCAATCACGTCCAAATACCGCGACAAATGTGCCGTCCTGAAATTCCGAAACGTAACCAGTTTGACGTTTCACGGCGGGTCTATAGGCTGGAGTGGGGCCTACAGAATCATGTTTGACACTAGCCCAGGGCTAGCCTCGTTTGAGGCCACAGTCAGATACACCGTCAGCTTCTTTATATTCACGTCAGTACAGACTCTAGGCGACATCAGCAGGACGAGCACGTACAAAAACTTGTCGGACTGTGTGGAACATGATAAGATTGTACGCATGTATTGCTACTGTAAGGATTTTCTCCTAAGCTAATAAATTGTGTTTTACAAAACAAAAACACGTTGCTTGAGGTGAAATGTCTTTTTTAATGTTGGGTATGGCTTTTTGTGTGACAGTAGGGAGCGGGGAATAGTCAATAAACCTAACGCTCTTTATGGATGACACCTGAAACTCACAATTATCCGAGGATAACGGGTAGTCTAGTATTTTACTAAAAGTGAGAAGTTTGTATATTTTTATTTTTATTTTTTGTTTGTCTGTTTAGTTACATGAAAGTATCTGCACTATGTGTGGAGCTGTAAAAAGAAAAGTATTTATGTAGAGAATAATCTTCTATTCTACCAACCTGTTCAACACAAATTCAAAAGTTTAACTCGTTTAAAAAAAGACAATAAATAATTGAGTTTCTTTAGTAAACTTTTAAGTCCTTAAATATTTTATATAAATTTTAGCGTTTTATCTTTACAGATCATCTAATTATAATTATAGTTCGAGAATACAATGAATTTATCTTGATAAACTAGACTTAAAACTCAAGCCAGTCGTAGATTGTATTATTTTTATCTAGATCTAAACTCTAGCACTAGATCTACATAGATTCTTGACCTAGTTCAATAATGAGCTTCTATACTAATGTATTTCAGGCAATAATTACTTTAAATACATCTATGTTTGTTTAATAATGGAATTGGCTAAATCATGATATAATAATAATAATTTTTGCTTAATTATTATTTTAACAACAATATACGATAAAAAAACTACCTCGATAAAATAGCAATTTTTTGTGTGTTCCCAGCTGGCCGGGATGATAGTGTAATAACAGATACCATGAGGGTGGTACGGTTCGAGACACATCAAGTCAATGTTAATTTCATTTCAATTTTTAGCGCAATTTCCTTACAGGAATTGCGATTATTAACTCGTCATTTCTGGATGGATGTGTGTGCCCAGCTTTAAGTCGTATCTCCTCCTCAACTAAGCAATATCGAGGACTAGTTCCAAAGCAAATATGTTAAGCAAGTTCCGAGGATGATTGTGGGCCAAAAAATTCCTGGAATTCCTTCCTGGATTTCCAGGAAAAGCAAAAATACCTCGAAAAATGCAGTTTTTGGCCCATATCTCGGCAACCAGACCACTTAGCGACTAGAAACATTTACCAATCGATTCCTGCCATAATTTAGAACAATATTGTAGATGAAAGTTTTCAAAAATATCCTTTCGTTCGGTCACAAAAAATTAATTAAGGAAATTGCGCTTAAATTGTCACTAAACTTTTTATTAACTTGTTTTTTAGATGTGAATGATAAAGCTGCCTATTGAGAGTTGGTGGGACACGGGGCAGGTGAAGTAGATCTCAGCATATGAAAGATCATATCCATGCTCAGTCGGAACCGTTGTTTTCAGAAGACAAAATCATGTTGTCTGACGTGTGACATATTTTTATGTGGGGTCTGTCTTTCTGTGAAGATGTGTCACAGTGGTAAGGGAACGGGAAAGATAAAAATCGTCAAAAAACATGACCTCATTAATGGATGACCCCAGAAACACACCCGTATTCAAGAATAACGGGTAATCTAGTAGAATTTAAGACTATGCATTTTTTTTATGATTAAATGTTTTGTTAAAGCCATTTTATTTTTCGAATCAGTACATTAGGCGGCCATCAATGACCGACTTGAAACAATTGTAGAAATATAAAACTAGCGAAGAAAACTGACATATAACTAAACTAAACAGGTCACCGTCAAAACGGCCAGTGACAAAATGGTCCCTTAAAAAGCGGCCCCGTCAATATGACCCCGTCAAATCGACCCACGACAAAATGACCCAGTCAAAATAGCCCCGTCAAAAGGGCCCAACATATTGGCTCCCGTCAAATAGGCTCCCGTAATATTGACTCGGGACACGTAAGCTACCGACAAATGGGCTCACGACATTTAGGCTCACCACAAAGGGTCTCGCGACTTATTGGCTCCCGACAAATAGGCTTACAACATATTAGCTGCAGACATAAGAGCTCTCTAGACCAATGGGCTCACGACATAAGGTTCCCGACAAAATGTGTACGACATATTGGCTCCAGACAAATAAATCAAATGACTACTATTTGCATAAGCGTATCCATTTTGTCCAACCCACCAATAATACGCAGGTCCTACCTCCTCTACCACCATAACCCCTTTTTAATGTCTGAATGTAAATCTTTTTCAAAGAACCAACAGTAGTTCATAAACAAATCGAGCTCTTAACAACGTAATTTGATCAATGTTGATAATGTTTAAGTTACAACAGTGAAAATATGTTGCTTAAAAGCGAGCACTAAAGTTTAAATGTATGATATCCATGATGTTTACAGGATAAAGGCATTTTGTTTTGATAACCTACAAGCATACTGTGAGTAAATGTACATCGTGGACCTCTTTCCCCACACACTGAGTTGGAACAAAACCTACAACAGACTCAATTGATGGAAGTCATAGCTAGATGACTTATTTAAATCATACTATTTCTTATACTAGATAAAATAATATAAAAATAAGTAAAAATAGTATTTCTTATACTAGATAAAATAATATAAAAATAGGGCCTGTCGAATAAGAGATGCATACGTTGAATTATATAAGAGTGTTGACTAAGGTAACTCTTAAGAGCAATGATTAAGGGGTCCCAATGGCAGGTGCATATTTAATGATGACCTTTCGATGGGAGACTTAGTACCTAAGTAAACCGTACTGAAAACGGTCCTTTTGTTGGAAGCCAAATGACGGGAGCCTATTTGTCGTGAGTTTTAATGAAGTAAGCCGTTTTGTCAAGAGCCAACAATTTACACATTAGTCGTCTATTTTTTTAAAGTGAGATATTCATTGAATGATGCAAACGTTAATCATGGTTAGTTATTTGAATAATTAAAAGTGTGTTTTTACATATAAATATATTATTAATTTAACTTAAGTCTCTAATTAATGTGTGCATTCATTACTTTCTCGTATATACGAAGTATAGAGAAAGTATTGTAATCGTGCACAAAAATCACTTGAAATTTTAACAATTTTCACCGTATTAGACCTCAGTCCTTCATCACTTCCGAAGTATAGAGGACTTATTTTAATCGGGCAAAAATTATCAATCCAGATTTATCAAAATTAAGAGGTTTTATGCGTAATCCAGTCTGAAAAACTGGGCTTTGCTATTCTGTCCGTATGTCTGTGTGTCTGTGTGTCTGTGTGTCTGTCTGTCCGTGTGTAAACACGATAACTTGAGTACCGTTACAGCTAGGATGATGAAATTTTATATATAAGTATTTTATCAAAATCGTAGATCCGTATCAACTTTTGAGCGATTTCCGATAACCAGAAGTGGTATTTTTTCTACTTTGAATTTTTCAAAAGCCTATAACTTGAGTACTATTTCAGATAGATAAATGAAATTTCGCATGTAAGTAAAAGATCTAATTTTCTACCTTTTGTTAAATTTTGAGTAATTTCCGTTGACTGGAAGTAGTAATTTACGCTACTTCCGATTTCTCAAAAAACTAATGTAAATTTTTAAAGTACTAATAATATTGCGCACTATAATGCACTTTTTTATTTGGCGTTCACTTGGTGTGCAATTGTTTTGTCTATGAGATTTTATTCTATTTTTAAAACTTTAAGTATTTAAAATGGATTACAAATCATGTTTATAGCCCGTGTTGCCATCCCCTGTTGTTTTATATAAGAATATTCGAGAAAGTTTAGGGGAGATCACTCCCGGCTTATTTTTTTTAAATGTGTAAATATATAAATGTATATTTTATAATTCTACATATAGTGAAGATGTTCTGATCAACCTATACAGAGAAACACAAAAAATACAAACTTGTAAACAATAGTGACTTAGTAGAATATAGATTTTCAGCTACGATATACATGATTAATTTCGGTTTGATTTAAATATATTATTTAGCGTTCAGTATTTAATACACTTTTCGTATTTAGTAATAAAAGTTTACAAAAATTACATTTAATAGTTTTTTTCTGATTAGAAATAATAATAAGCAGTTATGTAACTAATAAAAAAGTAGAAAAATATAACTTACTAAAATAAACATTTTGATTGTAATATTGTGTAAATTATTGATTTTTATTCAGACATATATTACAAAACTGAAAATATTGCAATTGAACCCTCACGCAGATTTCGACGATTGTTGAACATCAGGTTAATCCTGCCGCTTATCCTCATCACAGTTGCTGTTTGGTCTATACAGAGGAGTTATAGCTACATCAAACTAACAGAAGCTCCTCAGATCAAGTATGGAGACAGCTGTAGATTTCCTGAACTAGATCCTTTTAGGTAACATTCGACAATAAATGCAGTTTTTTTATTAGGTTAATGTTTAAAGAACGTATATGTTTTGAGAAAAAGAAATGTAATATCTAAAAAATCTATGTTTATAAAAGGCAGCAGTTTTTGTTTAAAAATATATATCAAAGAAAATTCCAACCTTGTTTTCAGCCCGAACTCTCTAAGATATTATGAACAGTTTCCTACCGTAGAATGTCCCGACGGCCTACATACGCTGACGTACTACGATGGGAAATATGTTCACGTCAATCAAACATTAAAGAGAAATTTTCACAAAGATGAGTCAATAACTTGCAGATATAGATCTGTTTTCCACAAGAGGAGAATATACTATGTCAATGGTGAATGGCAGGACTGGTTTTCTGATGTATCAAAAGTCTCTAAAAATGTTCCTTTTGTTGATGTTCAGTGCAAGGATACCAACGATAAAATAGTATCCAGTATGTTACACTACCCAACTAAACAAGAGCTAAGAAAACGGGAAGTCCCACATAACAACAACTTCAGCTCTGAGCAGATGAATGTGTTACTGCTTGGGTTAGATTCACTGTCAGGAAATTTGTTCAAACGTGCCATGAAAAAAACAAGAGATTATTTATTGAACACGATGGGTGTGGTGGAGATGAACATGTACAACAAAGTTGGAGACAACACATTTCCTAACCTGCTAGCGATCGCTGCAGGAAAATATGAACATGACATCCCAAACTGGAGTCAAGCCGAGGGCTTTGACGCCGTGAACTTTATCTGGCAGGATTTCAAGAAAGCCGGGTTTCGAACCCAGTACGTGTCAGATATGCCAGACTTTGACGATTTCTCTTGGCCACCGACAGACAGCTACAACATTCCAATGTTGAAGTCTCTATTGAAAGATAAAAATGTTTTTGACAACAACTGTTTTGAAGACCAAATTGAAGTTAAGGTGTGGCTAAATCTTGTAAAAGAATTTATTCTAGAATCTCTCCACACTACAGGGAGATTTTTCTCTTTGGCTGTGATAGACAGACCGACACACGACTTCCCAAACAAGGCTAGTGCCGTTGATGAGCTGTATTTTAATTTTCTTAGAGATCTGCACCAGTCATCTGTATTCAACAACACGTTTTTTGTGTTCTTCGGTGACCACGGGCCTAGAGTTGGAGCCTACAGAAAAACGTTTGAAGGCAGCATCGAAGAACGAACCCCTGCTATGTTGGTATACACGCCTGAATGGTTTCAGAAGAAACACTCCAGACTTTTCAAAAACCTGCTCACTAATGCCAACAGATTGACAACTAACTTTGACATACACAAAACTTTAAAATGTGTGCTAAGTTTAGACTTCGAAGGGTTAACAGAAAAATCTAAAGTCGATTTTGATTTCAGGGTGAAATCTTTTTTTTCTGAGATTTCTATAAAACGAACATGCGAAGATGCGGATTTGTCTCCACATTACTGTATGTGTAACGGCGGGGTACCTGTTCCCACTTGGGAAATCGCACCTAAAATAGGTTATCAAGTTGTACAGGATATTAATTCAATCACGTCCAAATACCGCGACAAGTGTGCCGTCCTGAAATTCCGTAACGTAACCAGTTTGACGTTACACGGCGGGTCTATAGGCTGGAGTGGGATCTACAGAATCATGTTTGATACTAGCCCAGGGCTGGCGTCGTTTGAGGCCACAGTCAGATACACCGTCAGCTTCTTTATATTCACGTCAGTACAGACTCTAGGCGACATCAGCAGGACTAGCACGTACAAAAACTTGTCGGACTGTGTGGAACATGATAAGATTGTACGCATGTATTGCTACTGCAAGGATTTACTGACTTCTTGAAGATATATTGTAAAACATGTTTCATATCTCCTTCTAATTTTATCTGATTATCTAACGTGTGAGGTTACAGAGTTGCGCATGCATTTCTCCTTCTTTCTTAAAAAGTTCAAAAGAAATTTTAGTGTGGTGATATAATATTTTAAAATGCTCGATTTATGTTATGTAATATTTTATTTGAGATATTAAGCATAAAGCAATACAAATATTACAGTTCGTTACAAAATTATTTTTTAAAAATTGTATTTTAAGTAAAGGAGATTTTTACTTGTTAGCGGCGTCTTGGGATGTTATGTAATTTGAATCTTCTAGTGTACTCACATGTCGTACAGTACTCTGTATATAGCATAATTTCGTCAAAGTTATCTATTTTTTTAAAATGTGGATTTTTTAAAGGCGCAATTTACATAAACCAATCAACATTTAAAACTTACAATCAAGTCATGTTAAATGTTGTTGTTTTTTCTGAATTTTAATGTATGTTTTAGCTTTTGTTTAATTCTTAGATTTTATTAGATTTAAAAATATTAAAATTGTGGTTAGTTATTATTGATAATGATACATAAATGTCACTATGGATGATTTTTTGATGTAACTGTCAATCTTAAGATGCAATACTAGCTTTGTTTAAAATTCAAAAGTGAGTCAAGCGTTGGGAAAAAGGAAATTGAAAAGTAATAAGAGCTGTATTAATAGTGATAAATAATGTATAAGCAATGTTAATAAGAACTCTAAGTAATATATGCAAATACCATCTAGTAAAACGTTTCTAAATACCCTGTTTAAAAGTGGACATACTCTATATAAACAGCTTTGCCCCGTTGGTTTTTCCGAAACGGGCGAAAACAGCTAGTAAAATAGGATTTGCGGAAAAGCAATATATACAAAGTTCTTGGTGAAATTAAAAGCTTTTCAAAAAAGATTTTAATATTAGTTTGTACAGTTGTAATAAAAGTTATTCATAAATAAAATAATAAACGCGTAGAAAAATAATATAATGTCAAAAGATTTTTGTTTTATTTTTTAATGTCGTTATTCTCTGATATTAATTTTCTCCATGTTTTATTTTTGTTGTGGGAATGGGCAAATAATAAAACGATAAACATACTAATTAGTTTTTAAAACTGGAAACTGCTTCCTATGAATTTAATTATTGACTATGTATTATAATTTTTTTTTAATAAAAAGCTAACGCTAATCTAGGCACAACATTTTTTCAAATTCTCAATTATAAATGTAGACCTTAAAAAAACAATGAGAAATACCTGTTCAACAAAAATTGTGTCACCTGGAATCCATCACAAGCATTAAAACGACGACTGTAAAACTATAGCTTATAAATACAACAATACCTACACAAATTGCTAAGTATTGATTATAAAAATAAGCTATCGATTAGGATAAATGGTTGTGTAATAATGTATTGGATGTTGATAATTCAAAACATATATTTAAATTCTAAACCAAACGTAATGGATAGACTTAATAAACCGGCTTTGGGAAAAGACTTAATATGTAAAATGTTAACGCGTGTAAGTTAAATCAATAATTGTCTTGTATTGTGTTGAATCAACTGTTTGGTAAGTATTGACGCCCTGTGGAACCCCTCTAGTTTTGATACCAATGCATACAAGTTGAAAAAGAAACTGAATTGTTGTGTCGCAGGTAGAGTAGAACTATTGAACTGTAAAAAAAAATTTATAAGAAAATCGTACCACTATTATCTGATTGTAAATATGTAATTGTAACATTTAACATTGAGACATGGAAAATACTTGCAGACGCGCTTCGGTAAGTCTATTTTCGAGAGCTCGTTTTAAAAATCTATTAAATACAAAGTTATACATAAGGCATAACAAATATTTGCATTAGAGATTAAACAATATAAAATGCATCAGCTGTTGATAGATCAACAAAAATGTGTGAGAATCTTAATATTTAAAATAAAACTAGAATTATCTTAGTTATCGGTGTTTAAGCAGGGATATAAATCAGAGTTTTAATTTTCAGATATTTTAAATAGTCAACAGACTTGTCTATGCGAAATAATGGCTCTTGGTGTTTGGTTTTTGCTGGCCTGGTGGCTGCTTTTATCTTCCTTAGTGTGGGAAGTTTCTACAGACGGTAATTCGTTTTAGTCATCATCTTTCCGTCACTTGATTTATGTCTTCCTGTTTTAGCTTAAGTCTTTTAGTTTATGAAATAAGTGCGCCGTTTATTCCATATTGTAAAAGTTAATATAAATTAACTATTATAAACATGAATGAAAAAGACAGACGCCATTAGTATAGTACTCCTTGAAAATAAAATAAGCCATAGCGCATGGTTGTATTTTTCATAACATGGCTAAAACAACTAGTATATAAGTAAAGTACTGAGATTGACTCTATAACATGCCAGACTGGTTTTAACAGTATTGACGACATTGTAAAACTCCATTTCAGATTTAGATATGTTAATTGCTTCAAGTTCAAGGATTCAGAGACAGCCCAATAAAACGTAATGTAAAAGTATCTATAGACTAAAATATAAAATATCAACATCAAGCGAAAAATATTATATACACTCTCAAATGTATATATATATATATATATATATATATATATATATATATATATATATATATATATATATATATATGCATATATCGTTACATTAATGTATATATATAGCGGTGTTAAAATCGGTTGTAACAAAAGAATGTGGAAATGCAATACAGATGATCATAACTGCTGTCCAGGACTAACTTGCATGTAATGTGTAACTTTCACAGTAATGTTCATATTTAGATTACTATCGTAAAATAAATCAGTTTTATTTTAACATTATAATTCAAAGTAGGCCTACAAGCTTTGGCTATTTATATTGGAGTTCGTAAATTATTTCTGCAGTGTAAATAATACCCAACGTTCAAACATCACAATTACAATGATTTAGTAACATAAAGTCTACTTCACTTCTATCAGGCGCTGGGGTAAAGGATTGGTGTGTGGGACACTGGATGACTACAAGAAAAGGTGTCGTTATATAAATAACCTCACATAACATTGTATAGTTGCAAAACTAAACTTACTTTTAAAAATAAATGTGACACATAAGAATGAATATGTACATAAATAGATTATTGTATTACACATTATTGTTAAAAACAGTTCAAATTAATATATGCATATATATATATATATATATATATATATATATATATATATATATATATATATATATATATATATATATATATTCCGAATTATCTATACAGACCTTGCTTGACAGCATATGAAAGCTGCGAATCTATGTCCTGTTGTGGCAGTTTAAAATGCAGGTGTGCAAACCTTTACATAAATAAAATATACATCTGAACCTATCATGCTTAAGCAGTGGCATAATAAGGCGGGTGCAGCGGTGGGGTGTGGTCCTCACCGGGTGATACCATTGCGGGGGTGACACCAAAACGAAAAATCGTAACATGTACTTTTAATAAACGGTTTACCCAGTTAAAATAACATAAAAGTAGGAAGAGGGGGGTTGACACAGAAAGTTACATTATTGTAGGGGTTAGAGTTGACAGCCTCATTTGCTTACTTGGAGGAAACCCGACCCAGTGAAGTCACTCAACACTTGTATACACATACTCCATTTACCACCGATAAACAAGCGATCTCGACCGCCTTGCAGTGGGCTTCAAGTTCGTATACCTCTCGGGACTCAAAACTAAAGGACTTTTCCTGAGTTCACCAGGCTGTGTTGGGTACCAGACTCACGTTAGAGAAAGTAAAGGTGGATGAGAATAATGTTTGCTCCATCGTCACTTTACATGCTAAAGTCAAGAAACAATGAATTCTACTGCATCTGCCGAATAAATAGTTACGTCAAAAAGGGGAATGTTACCGTCAAACAATTCTCCGTTAGACGTTAGAGGCGATGCTGCCAGGCAACGTCGTTTGTGTGTGTGTGTGTTGTAAACACATCTAAACTTCATTTAACTGAAAGACGAACAACATATTATATATATATATATATATATATATATATATATATATATATATATATATATATATATATATATATATATATATATATATATATATATATATATATATATATATATATATATATATATATATATATATATATTTATGTGTGTGTGTATGTGTGTGTGAGTGTTTGTGTGTGAGTGTGTATACCTGATATATTATTTCAATCCATTTCATCCGAAGGTCCGTAACTTCAGCGTACACAAGAAAAAGAAAGCAATGCACACTTGCATAATCCGAAGAATTTCCAAGCTTTTATACTTAAGTAATTATATTAGTTCATGTTTTTTTAATAGTTTCAAAGTTATTGTTGAAATTTGATTGAAAATTATTTTGATACATAATGTGGTGATTTAGTAAAATTAATATTTCAACACATATTTTAGATGTGTTTTTGTTTTGTTTTATTCTTTACTTTTATGAAGATTATTAAAAGAGGTATTTTAAAATATTTTTATTCGAATTAGCGATTTAACGTCATTTTAATTCAGTTTAGTTAATAGGACTAATTAGTTAAACTAATTTTGTATCAATGATAAAGTAGTACCCGTGCCTATCTTAGCTATTTAAAAACCTTTTTACGATATTTGACTAAAATAATTCAATCAAAGAGCAATTAAAGTACTACCTGCAAACATATTTTTATTCTTTTAATATAATGAAATAAACAACAAATAAGATTAGAATTATTAATAAATGCGGTACTTTTAATTTGTAATCAAGCAATACAATACACAAATGATATATATGCTGCTCATAGTTTTAATTGCAAATTTATTCATTGATAAAAAGTTATACTAAAAAACGTGTATCAATTGTATTTAATAAACAACATGAACAACATAAAAATTGTCAAATACTGTTATACTACTATCATTTTAGATGTAGGCGAATTGTTGTATCTTTTCTTTTTCAATAATTGTATTTTTAAATTTAATTTAACACTTAGAACTTTCTGTTTTATTTATCACTAAATTGTATTTAGCTAACTATTTAGTGAAAAAAGATTCTCATTTAAAAAGACTATTCATTTAAAATGACTCATCCTTCGCTTAGTGTATCCAATAAGTTTGATAATGCTATGATTTAACCCGGTATAATAAAAAGTGAAGAAATTTCTATAGATACTCATTTTTTATATATATATTAAGAAAAATGTAACGAATACAACGTAGACTTTAAAAGACGTTTTAAAACTAGCGAATTGAAATTGAAGTTTTTTAATGATTTATAAAATTATTAAAAATATTCCGGTAAATTTTAGAAATAATTTCAGTAATATAAGGAACACTAAAACGGTTTTTATAAACTGAATTAATTGATCAGCACATAAAAGTTATTGGTCGACTACAGAACAAAACAGTAGTGATAAAGCTCTTCTAATTTTAGTTTGATTTGTCCTACCATTTGTTGATCTTTTACAACTAAATAATCGAAAAACCTAAATTGTTGCGAATCAAAGAAAAACTTACAATTATATCAGGATTGAGACTTGGCTCCAGGCATTTCTTAATTTCCTTTAAGCTTCGGATTTAAAATAAATATTACATCAATTTTAGATACAACATAGCAAAGCGTATTTTGGTCGTTGTTAAAAAGCGTAATCGTTCCCATTTGTTTATTATAATTTATCTTGTACAAATATACAAGTAAACATCTGTATATATCCAGGCCATTCCAAGTTTCTTTTATCTTCCATAATTAGCCATTGTGTTTGTCCCGAGTATTGTTTCAGAATAATTGAGTAATCGATAGGAAGGTAGGCCGATGTTGACATTTTACAGAGATCGATATTCTACTTTTCTGCTTGCTTGGGGCATCATAGGGGAACTCCAGACATCAAAAAGAAAACACCAATTCGTTGAAATAACTTTAAATTAGGAGATATTCAGTGGTCAATATTTATAATTTCAAAAAAGCCGCACCGTATGTATGTTTGTATTCACAATCTATATACGTTTTATTACGTATTTTGTTAAGACTACTAAATACTGCCTTTAGTAGCATACTTTCAGCAGTGTTAAACCCAGCTGAACACAGAACTGTGTTGATAGTCTGTAACAATGGACAGTGTTGTTTCCAACCCGCTCAACACAACAGTAAGCAACCCAATGCCAGACACCAGCGTCTTCTTTGACGCCAGAACGGCTTTCCTATTCGACGTGTTCTTCAACTGTTTCCTCATCCACTTCCTGAGCCTGCTGGGCATTGTGGGTAACCTCCTCAACATCGTCGTCCTCTCACGCCACAACCAGAAGGAGACCACAACCATCATCCTCATCTCCCTCTCCATTAGCGACCTCTGCTCCTCCCTTTTCCAGCCTTTCAGGCGGCTCAAGTGTTTGGTTTCACACTTCGACGTCCCCGGTTCGGTTACCATCGGGTCGTTTACATTCATCTTCATCTACCCAATCACCGACTACTTCGAGACTGTCAGTATATGTCACGTGACCGCCATAGCCATTGAACGTTTCATCGCTGTCTGTTTTCCTTTACACGTCTCCCAAATCTTCACCCCGCACCGTGTTAAACTCATGATCCTAATCCTATACGCCTACACCTTCGCTATGCTATTCCCGCTACTCTTACGGTTAAGCTATGTAGAAATTTTCAACGAAACCTACAACTGCACCATCGGGATTGTCGTTGAAAGCAAGCTGTACGTCGATAACTACGACTCGTTTTCCTTTTTCTTTGATGTCTGCGTCAACAACGCTTTCACGACAATACCCATCGTTACCATCGTCATCTGTTCCTGCATCATCTCCTTCAAGCTGTCAAAACGGAGCTCCAGGTTTCTTAAAGAAAAATCCAAGCGTTTGAAAGAGAGAAAAGTGGCAAAAATGTTGTTGACTGTGTGCATCGTGACCGTATCGGCCAACCTACCCACCGCGGGGATGTACTTGTATTCGTATGTGTATGTTTTAAGGCTGGACAGTATTTACATTATCTGGGAGGCGGTTATAGGCAACTTGTACCAGTTTAACGCCTCCGTTAATTTTCTCATCTATGTTACTATGAGTTCTAAATTTGCAAAAACTTATAAACGTTTGTTTCACCAGTAAATTTGTAAACATTTGTTTTGAAAGTAAATTCAGTAACACCTATTTTGATTGTAATACGTTGCCATATATGTATATGTTTATATATATATATATATATATATATATATATATATATATATATATATATATATATATATATATATATATATATATATATTCCTTGTTACACAAATCACTTACAAACACGTTATTGAACACTAAATATATGTGGTTGTAAGACATTTATAATGTGTAATTAAATTATAATTAGTTAAAATTCTAGTTACTACCTTGTAGGTTAATTTCTTAGAAAGAACAATTATCAAGTGTTTCCTTATGAAACTACTAAAATGATTTTGTTTTAAAGCACAATGTATTTATAGAAAACGTACCATGACGTTCTACAGCAAATAGTCTTTAAATCGACTCCATTGGTGTCCCAGGAAGAGACGGATATTATTTTAAATTCTTTCTTCTTTTTATAACCGTAGTAAGAAGCTAATAGTATAAAGGGTTGTACTATCCTTAACAATATTAATGATGGGAGATAACCCCCATGCTTGTGATGAAACCCGCCGTTTAAATTGTCTTCATATAGTGAGTGTGAAATTATTGTTTGGAATGTTTTATTATATAAGATAACGATGTTCGTACAACAAATATACGATATGAACTTAATTCTGTTCTATATTTACCTTCACTTTGAGATGTCGTATGTGATTTATATTGTAATCACTTTACTTTAGCAAATCACATGTAGAGTATTATGTTTATTAATATAACCATAACATTAATTAATATAACTTGGTGAAACTTTAGCGATAAAAGCTGTGATATGTGTATGTGCAAGTGATTGACACTTTACCATTCAGTATTACCTGTAAATATGTTATATGTTGGTTATATTAAAGTACAATGGGCTGTGTAGCTTTTTTGCATTGTTAAGACAATAATTATACTAGAGAAAAGACTAAATAAGACTCAGAACTGCAAACTTGTTAAGAGAAAATAAAAGAAATTTAAAGATTAAACAGAACAGTTTGATGCAAAATAAAATGTTTTTATTGTATGTAAAAGGATGAGATAATTTTCAAGTTGCAAGAATAAAGTCTACACTTCATGTAAGTGTAGACTTTATTCTTGCAACTTTGAAAATTTACACTTCATGTAAGTGTAAAGTTTAAAAAAAAAAACAAGACAGTGATTTGCCTCTTTATTTCCTTCCTCTTTCCGTTATGTTTGTGACATCTCATGGTTTATTTATCGTTTAAGCTAGACAACAACTCTTTTGTTTTAAATAAAATAAACATGTTTGCCCTACATGACGTCAAGAACACAAGTGGTTTGAAGTGTTTGGTGAACTACTTGTTGACATGTTTTGTCTTTTACTTTAAATAGAGCTGATGTAACACATGCTATTTGTGTGTTCGATTAATGTGGTTATTAAATGGAGAAGATGGCGAGAATGGACTGGGTTGTTATGAGGGTGTTATGTAGTTTTACGTAGATTTATGTGGTTATTGTGTTGTTATGTTGTTGTTATGTGGTTGTCATATGGCTGCTATGTGATTGTTGTGTGGCTGTTGTGTGGTTGTTGTGTGGTTGTTTTGTGGTTGTTATGTTTTTGTTATGTGGTTGTTATGTCGTTGTTGTGTGGTTGCTTTATGGTTGCTGTGTTGTTATTGTATGGTTGTTGTTTGGTCGATATGTGATTGTTATTTGGTTGTTATGCGGTTATTGTGTGGTTTTTGTGTGGTTAATATATGATTATTATTATTATGTTGTTACGTGGTTATTATAAGACTAAAATGACCGGTCTGTAACTGGCTAAAACATACACTTAAAAATTAGGCATGTGCCACACAATTAATGTAACTGTGTAGCATGACGACCACATAACCTAAACATAAGGCATCTGCCAAAACAATCAATGTAACTGAGTAGTATGACGATCGCATACACCTAAACATAAGGCATGTGCCACCCAATCTATGTAACTGAGTAGTATGACGATCACATACACCTAAACATAAGGCCTCTACCACCCAATCAATGTATTCTGTATTAGTGTAGTATGCTGTATTAGAGCGACATGTTGTATTAGTACTGTAATGGTGTATTAGTGCGTCATGCTGTATTAGTACTGTAATGGTGTATTAGTGCGGCATGCTGTATTAGTACTGTAATGGTGTATTAGTGCGGCATGCTGTATTAGTACTGTAATGGTGTATTAGTGCGGCATGCTGTATTAGTACTGTAAGGGTGTATTAGTGCGGCATGCTGTATTAGTACTGTAATGGTGTATTAGTGCGGCATGCTGTATTAGTACTGTAATGGTGTATTAGTGCGGCATGCTGTATTAGTACTGTAAGGGTGTATTAGTGCGGCATGCTGTATTAGTACTGTAATGGTGTATTAGTGCGGCATGCTGTATTAGTACTGTAAGGGTGTATTAGTGCGGCATGCTGTATTAGTACTGTAATGGTGTATTAGTGCGGCATGCTGTATTAGTACTGTAATGGTGTATTAGTGCAGTATGTAGTATTAGTGCTGTATGCTGTATTAGAGCGACATGCTGTATTAGTACTGTAATGGTGTATTAGTGCGGCATGCTGTATTAGTACTGTAATGGTGTATTAGTGCGGCATGCTGTATTAGTACTGTAATGGTGTATTATTGTATCATGCACGTGCAATCGATTGGTGGTAACAGCTGATGTAGATCACTTTAGTGTAGGGTTATAGGGCTGGTAAGTAGGTCAATAAACAGTTCTACGGCTCAATAAAACCTGCATGAGCCATAAAACTCTTTATTGACCTACTGACTTGAAGGTCGTACTATGCAGCTAGTACATTTCGAGACGGTAGACTTACAAGGCCTATAGTCGAGGTAGAGAGGGCGGTTATAATTAGCTCTATTATGTTCTGTCTAAGTGTAAGACAATAGGCATTCGACAAAGTGAAGATACAACAATATTAGACAAAGTAAAGATACAACGATATTACACAAAGTGAAGTTACAACAATATTAGACAAAGTGAAGATACAACAATATTAGACAAAGTGAAGATACAACAATTTTAGGTATAGAGAATGTAAAAGAATATTGATAATTAACATTGAATACACATGCAAATTATAAACTTGGTCGTGACAAACACAACTACTTATATGAAGATCTAATTCTTAAATTTACAAATTGATCAATCAAAGCTGATCTGAAAGAGAGATTCAGTTAATTAACCTATTTAACGTTGATGTGAACTCCATACTGTGTTTGTTGTGGTATCAGTGTCGCGTAGATCCTCTCTCTGCTACAATCACCTACACTCCCTATACCCTACTATCACATACACTCCCTATACGCTACTATCACATACACTCCCTATACGCTACTATCACATATACTCCCTATACGCTACTATCACTTACACTCCTTATACGCTACTATCACCTACACTCCATATACGCTTCTATCATCTACACTCTATATACGCTACTATCATCTACACTAGATATCTACGATATTACCTAAACTACATGTAAACACATATACACCACTAAACGATTTAAGCCAATAAGAGCTTGCTGCAACGACCAAGTCTAACATTTCCAGATACATAAAGGTTTTTTTATTTTATTTTGAGCTGGATTTACGACATAGTACTTGTTACATTGAACCAACAGAAATAACCCACTTATTGCTTACTAAAGTGTGTCTATTAAACTATCATAAATGAAGTTAAATATTAAGCAGATTACATTGATCTCAATGTGTGCGTTGTCTGAATTCTATTTGATGTGTAGTTTTCTTTTAGAAGATTAAAGTTTATATCAATATCTGATGGCGACTTGTAGGTAAAATCCTTCTTGTGTCTGTGTATCCATAGTCCTAAACAGGCATGATTAGTAAAATGATGATGCATCGACACTTCAACGGTTACCTTGTCAACATCAACACATAGCTTGTATTTGTATGTTACATTCTTTATGTGAATCATCTAAGAGCCGACCCATCTTCTCCAGCTGATAAACTAACTTTTAACTCTCGACTTAAACTAGTCTCCCAACTTTACTTTTTATTAATCATAAATACTACATAGGTCTGTGATATTACGATAATTTAAGTTGAATCAGTAATTCCGTTTGAATTTGATCCTGTATGATTTTGTCTAATATTGTATAAGACATTGTTTTCTTATTTTATAATATTTGTCAGTATGCTAACAGTAAGTAAGATGGTTGGTCGGATGGTGGTTTCATAACTACAATTTGATTTATGCATGATGCGGAAATTTGCAACAACAATTAAATAAATACTTTTCATGGTTAATTAATAAAGGTAAAATACTTAATTTAAAGATTACTATTTTAATAACAAATTAGTAGATGAAAGTATTATTTAACAACCGGCAATGATACTAAAGCAAATAAACAACGCTCACTAAACCCATCTTCATAAAACTCCTGGCCAGGTCCAAGTGACTTCTCAGCATGAGACCGAGCACAAACTAACAGAGGCGTAGCGATCCTTCCCGGCGCCCCGGACAAACTTTTATATTTGCACCCCCCCCCCCCTCAAGATTTCCATTTGTACCCCCTCAAACTTTCGATTTGATCCCCACTCAACCTTTCAATTTATTTTTCCAACACATTTTGGCGCCCCTTAAAGTCGACGCCCGGGGACATATGTCCCCCCCCCCCCCCCCCCTCGCTACGTTACTGTAAACCAATCGACTTGACCCGCACACACCCCCCCCCCGTCAACCCTAAAGTAACATAAAAATGTAGAATACGTACATAAGCATTAACCTCATTACAATGTAAAACCTAACAACACGTCATATCAAAGTCTACAAAACAATACAGCCTACAAAACACAATGTACACATACCATAAGGCACTCTGCAAAATTTATGACTGGAGAATATTAAAACGAACATTAAATTTAAAAAAAATACTTATTTTAGTGAATCGAGTATCAGCTTTATCATCAGAGTTTCTTCCAGGCATCTCATCGGG